CCTTAATATGAAATGTAAAAATGTGATCGGTCTTGAATTGGCTATTAAATTGAATTTGGTAAAAATGGTGAATACAATAAGCAGTGAATCAAAAGGCAGCGAGAGCCTGTTAAAAAAATATGAACAAGTTTTTAAAGGATTAGGGCAGTTGGAAAGTGAGTGTTATTTGAAATTAAAGGAAAACTATCAACCAGCAGTAGATGCACCACGTAGAGTTCCATTTGGACTTTTTGAACCACTAAAAAGGGAACTGTCCAGTATGATGAAGTTAAAGGTTATAGAGCCAGTTAGTGAACCGACCGAATGGGTCAACTCAATAGTTTTAGTGGCTAAGCCCAATGGAGATTTACGTGTGTGTTTGGACCCTAAAAATTTAAACAAGGTCAGACCAAGATTTTCCTTTCCGAACATCGATGAATGTAAGTCGCAAATGGCAGGTTCTAAAATATTCAGCACATTAGATGCTAACTCAGGTTTCTGGATGATACCATTAGATATAGAATCATCAAAGTTATGTACATTTAACACGCCTTTTGGGCGTTACCGATTTCTGAGATTACCTTTTGGTATCAATGCAGCGCCGGAAATTTTTCATTCAGAAATGATTAGATTCGGCCACATTAAGGGTGTAATAATATATATGGATGATTTTTTGATCCATGCTCCGAACGTTCAAGAACATTTTAGAGTCAGTTTTGGAAAGGGCACAAATTGTTGGGCTAAGGTTCAATAAATCAAAATCGAAATTTTTAAAACAGGAAGTCAAATTGGTTGGACACATATTTAGTGAAAAAGGCGTTAAGCCAGATGAAGAGAAAATTAAATCTATAGTTGAGATGCCGGTACCAAAAAATGTAAAAGAATTAAAGCGCTTTTTGGGAATGATTAACTACTTGGGTTGTTTTATTGATAGTCTGTCAGCAAAAACGAAATATTTACGAGAGCTTTTAAAGAATGATGTAGTATGGCATTGGGACAATAAACAAGAGGAAGAATTTCAAAATGTACTTAAAGAAATTACAAATGTACCGGTTTTGACCTACTTTAATCCTAA